AACCTAGTGTATTTTTTCTGATCGGCTTCATTGAAATTGTCAATGGCCTCCCTGTAGTAGTCTACTGCCTGTTTGTATACCTCCTCGGCTTCTTTATGCCGCTTCCAGAGTACTTGTTCAGCTTCGGCTCTCCAGATTGGGTTGACTTCTAGAAGATGCGGTCCAAAATTGCTACTTGGAATACGTTCCAGGATATGGCCTACAAGTTCGGGGATTACTGATACTGCGTGCGGGTTTTGGTGGCTTTTTAGGATCTCCCTATTGATACCCATAACATCGGGGACTGTGTGGCCAAAGATTCCTGCCAACTTTTCTACGGTATATGTCATTTTTTGTTCTATCAAATCGAGTACTAATTTATAGTTACCTAATCTTCAATTGCCGAATATATTTTTTCCAAAGATCCGCGCTCCTACCCGGTTACCCTCCTGTGGTTCTACAGTCCTTCTAGGGGTTATTAACCTATCTGTTTACTCGATTTGCTATCTCACTGCCTCCAATAAGAAAACGAACGGAATCCTGAATCAGTTTCAGATGTTTCAGAAGTTTCGGATCTGGGGGGGTAAAATCAAAACTTTTTCTGGGAGGGTTGTCCTCGCCTGACTTTTACCAAAATTGCTGAAACATCTGAAACATTGAAACACCCTCTCTGATTCTTTCTTATTTTCCTCTCTTTTCCCTTATTTTATCCTTTTTTGCTTATATTGTTATGTTTCAGATCTTGTTTCATATTGTTTCAGATGTATAGGGATTCCCCACCTCACGGAGGAGGGATGTAAGTACTGCGAGGCCGTGAGGCCGAGGTGGCGGAACGCAGTGACGACACTACCAGCCCGACGACCCTGTGTAACCTTGAGTTGGCCCCCCGTTTATTTACCTATCCCCTAGGTAATTCAAAATTTGCGAAATCACCTGATTATTGTGTGGTTGCGCCATTTACGTCACCTTATATTTCACAAAATCTAATTGGTGCTAATGATCATCCAAAATTTCCTTTTGTGTTGTTGTCAAGCACGTGTTAAAATTGTACTGCGCCATGGCAACGAAAAAATTCCCAAGGAAACATAATAAACGACCAAAGCTCAAAGGTGGTCCAAGACCAAGTCCACGTCTGGTCGAAGGTAAGAAAATGTTGTCGGTCCTCGTTTAAAAGCTTCTACTGTTCCTCCGAAAAATATGTTCATAAAAAACCTGGTTTGTGGCAACCGCGGTATAACATTCAGATTGACGGATAAAAAATTATTCTGATTGACTTGAAACTGCAGTACAAATAAACAGTAATAATCTGTTATCTGTAATACAGGTAATTTTAAGAGGACACAATTAGTGCTTTTTATAAAGAATATTGAATCGAACACCGTCACGCTCTCTTCTTTAAAAAATTGATAAGGTCATTCAAGTAGGATTAGCAAATACGCCGATAATTATGATCATGAGAATATTTGATAAAAAGAGTAACACAATCTTAAAGACGTGGAATAAAAAAGGAAATGAGTGTATGCCCAGTTACAGTGTTACACGGACTGTGCACATGTGTTTTGCAACCATGCTTTTTCAAACAATAAATTACAATACTTTTAGGGTCCTGCCTGAATCTTTCAAACTTCCATTTGTAATTTAATGTAATTATGGAACTGAATGTTGAATATCCAGTTGTTCTCTTAATTGGAAAAACAGGCAAGCATTTGATTTTTATTTGTACTTTTTCTTATTCTTAATTAAAAAAAAAACATATTAGGTGTGGGAAAAAGCACTCTTGGAAATTTTCTTGTTGGGGCACTACAGGGTAATGAACTTTTCCCTACCTCTGCAAAAATGGTAGGTGTTATATTTTATATCTGTCTGGAATTAACCGTACTTAAGAGTAAGGAACGATGGAAATTTAGGAAACTGTTACAAAAGTGTGTTCTGCAGGAATTATGTTAATCGACGACGTACAATATAACATAGTTAACACACCTGGACTTTTTGACACTGAGCAAGGTTCAACTCCGATACTTGAAAAAATTTCCGAGGTTGTCAACAAATGTGCTCATGGGGTTAAGGCTATCCTTATTGTGTTCGGTATGCAATTTTTATGAGACAGAATCCTACTTTTTATAATTCCGTGGTTTTCATAATTAATCAAACTTTGAACTTTATAGAAGCCCAAAGGTTTACTAATGAACAGAGGAATGTTTTAGATAAAATAAGAAAGTTTTTAGGAAAAGATGCAACCAATAACATTATTTTAGTTTTTTCAAAGGCAAATAGAGTACAGACTAATAATAAAAATGTAATGGAAAGAGATTGTGTCAGAACTGTTAGTTCTTTTATTCAAGTTATTGGAAACCGTTGGGGCATCTCTCCGAACCCTGACATTTTTCCGCCTGATGAAGAAACTTTTAGAGTACGACTAAGGGAAATCAAGGATTTGATCGTTAGTATACAGGGAGTTTATACCACCACTCAACTTGAGAAAGACCGGGAACTGATGAAGTTTATGGTGGCTACAGCCTTTACATTCATTACAGCCATTGTAACTTTTGGAATCCTTGATGGTGGGGCTTTGTAGTATCCATATTACCGCCACTTACATAGTAGGCGTACGGCTACTTTATGTTATTTTCAACGTGATATTATATATTTAATATCGACGAATGTATAGAAGTGATATAATAGTTGTGAAGCAATCAACTATATAAGTATAATTTGAAGTAAATTTATAAATGACATATGTTGCTGTACAATTAAATATATGGTAAATATGTATTTTTTGTATAAATAATATATAATAAATGTATATTTTATAAGTAAAATTATTATGTTTCCCAGAAGTAAATATTTTCAACATTAAAGATCCAAGCTAATCACTTAAAAAAAAGAATGAAGAATGAACATTGGTAAAGTTCTGTTAAAATAAAAGAACTGTCAAACCCTTCTGAAAACTCACCAAATCAAAGAAAATTTGTTGAGTTCAAGTTCCAACTAAAAATCCACGCTTGGACGTCTAAAAAAAGGAAAAGAACAAACCATTAGAAATGTTCCATTAAATCAGTTAAAGAAAAAAAACTTCAGTTTCCATACCAAAATCCCGCGTTTTCAAAGATTTGAAGTATCAGCCATCTAAAAAAAGTTCTGTTATAAAAATTCCCACCGAAATCCACATCCCAGATCTGACTAAAAATGAAAAAGATAAAATGTTAGATTCATTAAAATTAATAAAATTAAAAAATTTTGATTTCTTATCAAGAAGAATCTTTAATTTTCTAACGTTCTGATAGTTAAGAAAAAATGCTCACTAAAATCCTCATTCAGAAATTTGATGAATAAGCAATCTAAAAAGGAGAAAAAAATGTTAATAAATGTTTTGTCAAAGAATAGTTCAAAAAAAAAAAATCTTCACCTTTACCGAATTTTTATGCATCCAAAGACTCAGTCATCTAAGAAAAAGAAAAATTGAAATGTTAGTATATGTTTCGTTGAAATATATAGAAACGTAAGAACTGTCCGATTTCTCACCAAAATTTGACGAAACAAAGATAAACCCTAAAAAAGAAAGATTGGTATCAAAACAAAAACCTCACTTTCAAGAGTCACCGAAACCTCAAAAAAGAAGCACTGAAACCTAAAGAAGAAAACGATTGTTAGTAATGAAGACAAAGGATAAAATCAAACCTGCCAAATCTAAAAGGAAAAAAAAAAGTTAAAACCTACAAAAAAGAAAGGAGACATTAAATATCTACCTCCATTTTCAAAAGAATCAGCAAAACCTAAAAGAAAAAAACCAAAAAATAAACTGTTAATAAGTTAAAATAAAATTATTAAGAAAAAAAATTAAAATTACTTACCGAAATTTTATATCCAAGGATTTGAGAGAACGCCCTAAAAAACATAAAACGAACTGCTAGAAACCATTTGTTAAAAGGCGAAAAAAAAAATTTGAAAACATACACTTACCAAAACCTAATACCTAGAGAAATCCGAAAAACTGTCTAAAAAAAAATGAAATGAAATAAACTGTTAGAAACTGTTTATTGAAAGATGGAAGAGTTAAATGAAATAATCAAAAACTTATCAGAATGTAACTTCCAAAAAAAACCTGAAAGAACTATCTAAAAAAAAGAAAAGAAACGAACAGTTAGTAACCATTCGTTAAATTAAAAAAATGAAAAATAATTTTTACATTAATATAGAAATAGAGAATTATAAAAAAATTTTTATAATGGTATGACATTTATGATATATATTCACTTTTAGGATTACTTTATATAATATTTCAATTTTTAAATTTTTTTTAGCTAAGGAAATTTGAATTTACAACATAATATAATAAGTTATATATCTATTAAGTATTTAATTATACTTATAAATTATTATTTATCGCTAATGCGATTTGTCGCTAGTCCCGTTTGCCATGTGAATTATGTATGAATTTAATATGCTTTCATTAAACTTTTTTGGTTATCATCAATCAGTATTTCCCACGTTTGCTCGCCCTCTTTCATTTGAATTTTTTTATTTTTTATTTCTTTAATATTGAACGTAAAACCCATAAATAATTTCATTTATTTTTTCCCTTTCACGTGAACCTACCTTATGGAAGAAGAATAATTCAAAAATATTCATCTTTCAGAATTTGCTCAAGGTATGTAATTAGGTGGAAAAATGTTGGCAGAATAATGTTGGTTTTAAAGTAGTGTTGGCTTTAGAGTGGTATTGGCTTTAATTGGAGTAGCTTAGGGTTAGGGTAAGGAGAATTGGTTAGGTTAGGTGCGTTATCTTTATAGTAGTGTTGGTTTAAAGTAGGTTTGGGGTTAAGGATGATTTCAAGTCATAATAGTAATCATTTCTAACCCTTCTTTTTATTTTATTACATTATTTATTGTAATGATGTTTGTAATGTCTAATAAAGATGAACATGTGCTATTATATTCAAAAAAGAAATTTCAATTATGGGAGATTGCGAAATTTTTATAAATGATTGGCCTAAATGACAAGAGTATCGACAATTGAGTCATTAAAGAGCATGTAGGTCGCGAGGTAGGAGTTGTCCATCATTGTAAATATGTGTGTTTCACTAAAAGCGCTACTGTGAAAAAGATTGTCCATTTATTATTAATGTTCATGTTTAATCCTTAAAGGCTTTGTGATTATCAACAAGATTGTTGTTGAAATTGTTGTATCTGTTTGTTTTACATACATTGTCATTTTTTATATTGAACTTACTTATTAACTAGACAAATATAAGGAAATGTATTAAATATAAGGAATGTATTAATAGGATACAACAATGTTAATAATTAATGTTAACAACTATATTTTAAACATTTTCCCCAGCTTCACGTGACCGTGAAAATATTGTCACACCCCCGGCCGAGTTTCACTGTTTATATATATCTTAGGGAGTTTTTTTCGAGTAAGTAAAAATTATTCGTCACGCCCTTATTCGTCACTGTTTATTTTCGCGTGTTAGTGCATAACGTCAAACCCGAGCTTTTTTGATAGTGTACATAGCTGGGGGGAGTTGTTAAAAATATTTTAACTAATAAATCACATGATTAATTCTCTAAACATGTGACATTTGAGGCTAGCGATGTATCACCATAGCGATAAAAAACAAAACCCCTTTTTTTATTTTATATTCTTAATGGAATAAATAAATTTAATATGATAAATATAAATAAGCATCAAATACATACTTTTTTTTAAAGTGATAAGTCACATTGAGTTTTGACAGTTAGAACTTTCTCCATTTTTCTTTCCAACGAATTTAGATCTTAGTAAACCTCTTTCTCTTGTTGACAGAAATCCAAAAATATCACTTCCAACCTTTTTTTCATTTTGAAATTCAAAAATTCCAAAAATTTGATTTTCAATAAAATATCCTTTTTTTTTATTATATCACCTGATCTCTCAAAATAACTTCCCAAAAATAAAAATAATAAAAAATCCTAAATATAATACAAGAAATCCAATCAGAAAATGAAAAAATTCACGTGACTTTCATCACTGGTGTCACAATTATTTTAATAAACATCTATTCGTCACGCAATACTTGTGAGTTGTGAGTACGTAATTATACTGCGGCACGTACAATAATGATTCTTACCAAAATCAATAATGAAAGTTTATTGCATCAACAATCCTGGAAGACGGACAAGTTTAATTCAGTTTATGAAAATTAGGCAAAGTTGAAATAAATATGAATTTATAATAAAAGAATCTTAGTTTAAATCTTAGTTTACAGACATTATTAATGCCTGATACAATTTAATCTTATGTAAAATTATTAAATAAAAATGAGGATTTGTATCAGGGATTTACAAAAAAAAACATCACGACAAAAACATCACGACAATACTTAATTCACGTTCATCTAGAGCTCCGCACGGGTCGGGTCGGGTCGGGTTACCTGGTTAACCCGAACCGAAATTTTTTTTCAGGTCAGGTCGGGTCGGGTAAACCGTTCTGACCCGACCTGACCCATTTGACCCGAAAGTATTCGGGTCACTTCGGGTAACTCAGGTTACCCGAAGTTTTATTATTAAATATTTCAATTAAAAAAACGTTTTGTAACGTTTTTTTTT